CCTCTTATTGCTGTGAGCATAAGGTTATTTGTATAAAACAAGAAATCCGCTACCAAGGAAACAGATGTTTCTAGTTGATCCCTTTGCCTCCAACTACAGCAATCAAGGCCGACCCCACCCCAAAGCAGTTATTTTTTCTATAAAGGGTAATTTTCAATGAATACAAATGCATCTGAAAAGGGTTTCTTTACCTGACTCCATATTGTTTTTTTTTACATAAAGTACTTTACAATTTGAAACTTTAATAATGAGAAGTATGCTAAACAATTGTATATTCATAAATTCAAATTTCTACAACATTTGTGTATCACATGAGACGCAAAAAATCAGCTTTCAATTTTATTTGCTGCCCTTAACTAAAACACATCATCTGTTGAATCCATTCATACCCATTCATATACTGTAAAATACTTCTTTTTAGCTAGAGTTGAATGTAAATAGTATATTCACTGGATTTTATTTTCACTGAATCATTCCTTCAGCAAAAATAGCAAAAATTAGTTACAAGCGAAAATAAAGTATTTTACAGTATGGTATCTATGGCAAGTTTCAGGAGACAATCCGAGGTGATTAGTAACTTCAGCTCTAAATTAAGTCCATATATTCTTCCCAAGCTACCATTACTGTGTTTGTTGGTGACCTTGACATTGATTCAATTTCACTATTATCTCTTTAGTTGTTTTAATGTGTCTGTATGTATTAGTAAATTAAAGAGTCAATCATTTATGGATAGAATTTTGCACCCCAGTTGATCACTGCTAAACTTTCTCAAACATCATTATGTGTGAAGTATTTTACTGCTAAATATTTACTCACCTTAACTGAAACATCCATTTATTAAATAATTCCCTGTAATCGTCATACAATTCTTGGCGTTCAATTTGATGGCTACTTGATTCGCATTCTAATACATTATTAAGTTCCTCTTGGTTCATTCTTGGTGTGTTTAATCTGGACAATGTTCGATCTGACGTTACAACTGTTCCACTTTGTGCCTCAAAGTATTCTTCCGCCATTTGTGTCTGACAGTTGGAAATAAAGAAAAAATACTGTTCGGATTAGTCATCTACTATGCACTCAAAACTTCTGGTCAGCAGGAAAAGTACATTTTATAGACAGATATGTTACTATACCGTTTTCAGTTTTATACCAAACAAGTTTGTATTCTAAGCATCAAAACCATGCAAAATTATGAAGTTTGTGAAATGTTTGTAAACAATATAACTATTTTCATTCATATCAGTATACACATAATGAAGAAAAACAAAATTAAACTTATAACATCTTGGTATCTGTACAGACATTATAAGATATCTCTCAGAAAATACAGTCATGGCTATGTGGGGAATTTGGGCTCAAAAATGACTGGTTATAAAATTGGTATTACAACCATAGATGGGTAGCTGCTTTATATTTTTCTATGACATAGAAATTGATTTTCTCCTGTCATACAGTTTCAGTTTACAGACACTTACAGTTAGATTGAAGTTAAAATATAGAAAAACATGATTTTTTTACTGAGATTATTGACATTGCGAGGGAAACACAGCAAGTACCAGGAATTTTATTCCATGTTATTAAACATTTCTAGTAGTAAAGTTTTAATGATCAGAAGTATTGCAAACATTTTATGGGTGATAAAAATAGAAAGACACTTTTAGTAGGAAAGTAGTAATCTGAAAGAATAGCATTGATAAGATCATTATATATCAGTAGTATGTAACATTTACATTGCTATATTCATGGCATTAAAAGTTCAAAGTTCATTGAATGAAGAGGTGTATGACATAATTACATAGATTAATTAGTACATTTAAATATATTATTGTCTATATTTGCAAAATACGCATTAGAACCC